AGGTCCAAGTCCATTTACTTTAATCCAAGCCCATTAACTTTATCCGAAGTCCATTGACTTTATTCAATTCCATTTTATGTAGTCCAAGCCTATTTAGTTTATTTCAAACCCATTAATTTGCTCCAAGTCTAATTCTTTGATTTTAGGATTTATTACCGGGCAACTCCTAATCGAGTAAATAATTTTTCAATTTTAGAAAATAATTAAATCTTACCCATTTTATTTTATATACTAGACATATTTATTTATAACATATCCAAAAATTAGGTCTAAATACCAAGTACACAATTAATTACAAATTTTTGAAACTTAGGGAGCAATCTGCCTAATAGTAGTTTGTCTAGAGCTATCCATACTAAATCGGATATAACTCTTTGTACACGAATCCAATGACCAAGGAATTTTAAAGGGAGTTAGTTGAAACATAGATGAAAAACTTTTATTCTTTAGGTTTCACCCAGAAAGTGACCTAAAATCCTTGAACATGCACCCCAAAATTTGGACAGAATTTACTCCTTATCAACTCTAATTTATTAGTTCATTCCAAGCCAATTTTAAACATGTTTTAATTCACTTAAATTTAGTCCAAGTCCAATCCAACCCATCACCACATACTTGGACATTTTTCAAAACATCATAAAATCATAAATCACCACAACAAGGTATCCATACATAGATTTATCCCAACCATCAAGCATATAACCATGGAAGATTATTACAACCCATGAAATAAACACTAACAAAATAACTTAAAAAAAAATAATTTAAGACATTAATCAGCCAAGAAATGAAACCTACTTACCTTTTTTAGGTTTGATTAGAATTTCCTTAGCTCTTTTCCTTTTCTTTTTCCCTTTCTCTTTTTCTTTCCTTTCCTTTCTCTCCTCACGTTTTTCTTCCTCTCTTTTCTTTCTTCCCTTTTCTCTCTCAATTTTTGGTACCTACGGGTTACTAAAGTTTTTCTCCCATTTTAACACTTTCTATATATATATATATATATATATATATACACTTACTTTCATTCAGCTACAAGTGTTAGAAATTAATGGGATAAGGTGTATAGGTTATGGGTGAGTCATGAGGAAAGTCAGTCGCTTTAGAATCCATAATGGGTGAGTTGGCATTAAATTCATTTATCACATTTACTTAGGTGTCTATATAAAATTTAAACTAATTAAAATCATTAATTAACTTAATTCAAGTAACTAAAACTAATTTCTTTCATAAAAATTCAGAAATTTCCATTTTTAAAAATTCAGAATTTCTTTTCCCCCTAAAATTCCAGCAGTGTTTCCTCCTAACCCATCTATACTAAAATGCGCATAACTCTTTCTATATGTATCGACAAATTATGAAATTTTATAGAGAGCTATTAAACACATAGAAAAACAACTTTTATGCTTTAAGTTTTTCTCAAAAATCAATCTAACAGCATCAAATCAATCTCACAAGATTCGGGCGGATTCTTTTCCCAAAATTCCAGCAGAATGCATTTCGAAACAACCCTCACTATAATTGGTATAACTCTTAATTTATAGGTCTAAATATTATAAACTTTTATACAGATCTATTCAACACATAGATGAATAAATTTCATTCTTTAAGGTTGACCCAAAAATTACCCTAAATTCCGCAAATAATTCACACAAAACTTGGGAAGAATATAGTCCTTAAAACACCGATTTTGCATATTTGATTTCTTTAATAATTAAACCATTAATCTTAAGCACAATAACTTTAATTTAACATAAATCACATATTTCAAGCATTAATTTCTCATGATAAAATGATAATTATACTTACTCTTAATATACATATATATAGAATTATTCTAATACACGTCGCGTTACGGATAAGGGTTTTTACGGAGGTTACATCTATAGCCTCGTTGTATATGATGTTCTTGTTCACCGAGTGGTACCGGGATTCCTTCCTCTTGTTGCTTCACAATAGCTTTCCGTATGAGATCGTCAACACGCTCCTACGTAATCAAAATAATTATAACATTTAAATATTAAATATTTTTTTAGATTATATTTGCATATATAAATTTTAAAAATTAAAAACACTTACCATTGTATGTTGGGCACACGGATCGAGAGAAAGCCCAACTCGCCGCTTGTGAGTGGCCCCAAACAGAAAATTTTTGGAATTTAATACATTAGGCTAATTTGATTATTTCTTATATATAATGAATATTTTAAATAATTTCAAATTTTAGTAGTTAATTTGAAAAAAATTAAAGACACAAATTAGCTTAGCTTAATCCAATGTAATTTATTTTAATAATTAAATAAAATTTTCAAATGTAAGTTTTTGGTCATATTTTAGGGTGTTTATTCTTAATTAATGATTGATTAAATGAAAGTAATAGGACACTTATGTGAAGCTCACATTGAACGTTGGATGTGGACTAGGGTTTTAGCCTAACATTAATAATCCAGTACTTGTTTATTTATATGCTAATCAGGCCCAAATATTTTTATATAAAGGAATAAATCATCAATTATGTTACAGTAATCATGCATGGTCCGTTTAAAAGATTTTAAGGGTAACTTTATTAAAAAAAATGCTTATGCCTTGTTTTATTTTTTTGAAATTAGGATACATAAATAACACATTAATTTCTAGATTATTACTATGAAATTATAAGAATAAAGAAAAAATTTAGAAAAATTATTAATGGAAATATGTAATTGTTTATGGTGTATTATTTTCGATATGTATTTTATTTTATTTTCAATATATATATATATATATATATATATATATATATATATATATATATATATATATATATATATATATATATATATATATATATTGAATACGAGTCGATTGTGCACCATGTACTAGAGTTGCATATAAAATAAATTAATGGAGCTTTAAGATCTATAATTGGCTTTCCGTCCAATGGAATGTTTGTTTCTGGTTGCTTTTTGAATGTTATGGCTTCAATTTAATTCAAGCGGTAATTAAATTTTAAATATCAATTAACTAACCAATTGGACTATAATTAATAGTAAAAATCAATCAATCATAAAAAATAACCATAGTTAGATTAACCCTAAATCAAATTAAATTAATCCTAATTCAAACGTTAATTAAATTTTAAAATAACATTAACAAATTAACAAAATTAAACTAATAACTAACAAAAACAATAAAAAATAAAAAATTAACAATTAAGTAACAAAACTTTAACCTAACAATTAATCACAATTAATCAACCAATTTATCTATATTACCCCAACAATTACATAAAATTTAACCTAACATTGATAATTAATAAAATTAAACTAACAATCGACAAAATTAACCTAACAAAAAAAAATTAATCTAATTAATAGAAAAATAAAAGAGAGAACGAACCAAAGGAGAGGGAGAGGGGAGATTGCCTCGGTGGTTTTTTAGGCGAGAGGGGTGCCTTGTCGGGTTAAGTAGGCTAGGGAGGGAGTGGGTTGGCACGAGGTTGTGGTTGGGGTTGTTGGTGGCGACAACATGAGAGAATGAGAGGGAAAGGGAGAAAAATTAGGGAAAAAGAAAGGAGTCTGTCGGTTTATAGGGATTTAGGATTGGCGATGGACGTAATTTTGTCACTAATTCGTCGCTAATTAGCAACGAACGTAAGTGTCCGTCGCTAATTACCGACATGCGAATAATCCGTCGCTAAGCCAATGATGTTTTTTAAATTTCGTCGCTAATTTTTTTTGGTAATCTGTCGCAATTCCATCGCTGGAGTTAGCATGGATTTTTGTCGTGCGCTTTAGCGACATTTTTTTCTATCATCGCATTTCCGTTGCAAATATGTCGATGTTCCATCTCAAATTATTCTATTTTCATTTTTATCTCTCGTTTGATGGCTATTCGGTAGCTAATTAGCGATAAAATTTAATCCATCGCTAATTGCCTATTTTCTTGTAGTGGAAAAAAGATAATTGATTGATGTTAGTTTGACGAAATAAAATGGTGAGAATTGGGTTATTGATGCAATTTTGAAGGGAGAAAAAAATTTCGGTCTATATATATATATATATATTGCAATGTATTACATGTATTTATATAACATTATTTCTGTCTAAAAATGCAAATGAAGTGCCATAATATTGAATACTCAATCAAAAATATTATTACTATACAAAATACAATATTAAGATTTGGATAGAGCTTAAAGTCAGATGGATGGCTAGAATTTTAACTTATGATTATCAATATTTTTGAGAATTTTTAATTTTCTTCTCGATATTCTTATTATTCGAAGAAAATTATACGTTGAAATAATTCTTGAATTTTTCCATACATTTGCATTTGATTTTTCCTTTTTCTATGCTTTTGATTTTTTTCTTTCTCTAATTCGGTCCCTTGAATCTACCTTTCCCTTTATCAAAATTCAAGTTTATTTTTATTTTCCTATATTAAACAATATCCGCTACTCTCTTTTTTTTTCAGAGAGGAGAAATTCTAATTTAAAATCTTTTAATTAACACGAATGTCCATTGACTTATAAAATATTTGGCAATTTTATCATATATTTTTTGTTACGCATTGCCTTTCCAATCGAATCATTAACTAGAGTACGTATAGAAAATAACCCATAATTGTCCTCTACATTCTGAGCAAATCCTTGGCTTGAGGATTGAATATTATAGGAACCAACACGGGTGGGTTCCATAATTCATATACGTGGACTCGAGGAGCGTAGTGGAAGGTCATCGCTTGTAGGAAAGTCTTGGTGGTTTAGAAGGACCGAGTCCTACAAATACGGCTGCAACGGATAGAAGAAACGTCCCTCTTTCGATCTTCTTTCTAGCGAACTTCCTTCCATACTCCCTCGTTACTTCTATCCTATAAAAAGGCCGTCCTACGTCCCTTGATTTCTATATTAAACAAAAAAAAAAAACCAACTTATTTCAGTTTTCAAAACTCAAGCATAAAGCATACATATATACTTTGATTTTACACTCCAAAAAGTTCTTGAATCTCTAGCGATTCTTTTCAATATGAACAAGCTGGTTCATGAGGCTTCTCGCACTCTAGAAATCACAATCTTATCCGCAGAAAACCTACGCCTCGATGGCAAAACTGTTAAAAAGAATTCTTACGTTATCGCCAGAGTCGACCCTCACAACTATGGATCAACTAAAGCCGATTTTGAAGGAGGCAGCAGCCCTTCCTGGAACGAGAAGCTTACCCTAGACGTGCCATATCAGACACGCTTTATAACCCTTGAAGTGAAATGCAGGACTAGTTCAGGAGACAGAGTTATTGGCACAGCAAGCCTTCCAATTTCTGACATACTGGGAGATTATACGCCAGAAAGTTATCTGCATTTCTTGAGTCACCGTTTAGGGGATGCAAGAGGTGAAAGGAACGGTATTATTAATGTTTCGGCTAGAATTAAGATGCCGATGGAGTCCGTGAGTCCTGCGGTGACAAAGAATCCAGTGGGGTATGGGTGTTCATCGTCGTGGCAGCAGCCTACGCTGGGAGTACCTGCCGGTCATCAGAACTATTGCGGTGGAGTTGTGACTGGCGTTCCTATTTGGAGTTCATTTTAAATTTCTCACTCAAACGGGGTGATAGTCCCAATTTAGATATTAGAGCCTTTTTTTTTTTTTTTTGACTAATTGTTGGCACTTCAAAATTTAAAAAGCCTTACATCCATCAAATACATTTTCTTTTTAAATCGAAATAATAAGACATAAATGAAACGGTGCGTTTGATTTTATATCAATCAAGTTTCGACGAAGTATTGAGAGTTAAATGAAACGGTGCACTTGATCTTATAACCAACCAAGTGAGTTTTAAATAAAACGATATGTTTAGTCTTATAACTAATCAAGTTTCGATGAAGCATTCAAATTTAAATGAAACAATACGTTTGGTTTTATAACCAACTATGCTCAAGGAAAAGTAAGACTTAAATAAAATGATATGTTTTAGTCTTTCAATCAACTAGATTCGACGAGACAACATATCTATAAAAAAATGGACGATTACTAATAACTCGTTCACGTCCAACTTCAAATCTAAGGCGATTATCGGTCGAAAACTATATAAAGAAGGGGTACTAACAAAATCGGGAGACAATCAACATATAATATTTTTTCAACACAAATTTATTCAAATTTTCTAGTTTACCCCGTAAAAATTAGTTTTTACATTCCCGCAAATAGTTCGATAGCTTTTATCGCTTCCGGTAGTGTCATTATTATAACTTAGAAAGTGTTAATGAGTCATTGATTATAGACAAATGGCGTCAAGTGTTTCGATAGCTAATGATGTAAGTGTCATATTTTTTTATTTATGATATTTACACTCTTTTCAATGAGTTTTATCTCTTTAGATTGATGAAATTCTATCCATCTCCTTAATGTTATTTCTTTCGATTAATAACATTCCTTTTATTTTATCTTTTTCTTTAAATTGAGCACCCACAAAAAGTCCTGGTGGCTTATTAAGCGAAATTCAATCCCATATTATTTCATCGTGAAGTTCTTAATTATAAATTGAAGCATTGTTATACTCTATTTTAAGATCGATTTTAATGAGCAAGTAACAAGTTTTGGTGACCACGAGTGGAGAGAAATGGCAAAATGTAGTACTACTAGAAGTATGACAAGATGTTAACTCTTTAGAAAGGACCAAATCAATGAAACAATCCTTGTTTTTGTCGAAGATATGGTCCAAATCATTGAAGGTGACCTCTAATGGAAACCGAGGAAAATCGCAATCGTAGAGAAACCAAGGATGACAATAAACTAGAACCTAAAAATGTAATTGACTTATGACAACTTGATAGTTAAAACAAATTTAGTGTCATAAGTCGAGAATATATAAGTTCGTAAAGAAGTGATGGTTCCATAAACAAAAACCATAACATCAAGAAACTAGCATCGAAGAACGGGTTGTTAAATTTTGGCAAATGCTATCAAGAAACTAGCATCTTTGGACATCGACAATCAGATAAATTGACAAATACAATTGATGCCGAACAAATTTGAAGGGGATATCAATAGAATAAGAGCTTCTATAGCCGAGTCATTGAAGAAAAATAACAAAATTATGGATAAGCATACTTGTTGAACTATCGAATTTTATGTGTTAACATGGCAACAAAGTAATTACATATGTCAAACACCTATTTAGTGAAACTCTTATTCCATTAGCGAGACAAATTGCTAAAAAATAGAGATCGCTATTGGACCAAGGTTCGAGACAACTACAAGCGTCATTGCAATAATGAGAGAAGATGTTCGACAACTTATGGTCCTCATAGAAGGAAAAAAGAAATAGTCGATTGAAGAAAGAAATTTCGACATCAATAGAGAAATAAATCATCAACAATCAAGCCAACGAAGTTCCTTTGGGTTAACTACCTTCGTTCCTAATAGACCATTTGATGGTAGAAATTATCATGATATGTCATAGAATGTTAATGGACATGCTCATTATAGCCAAACTAACAATTATTCATCTTGGTACCTCTCGTGGTTATGTCGACATAACCCATACCTTTATATTATAATCCTCCTCCAAACATGCTCCCAAGGGCAATAAGTAGTTTTCTACCACGGAATGTGCCAACTACGATTGTAACCTGGAGGAAACGCTTCTATACCACATCCCACCCTTGGGAATACAAATGAAAAAATGAATCAAGAAGTTTTGGATAATATGATCGAAAGGATGTATAGACTCGCGAATGCGAAGGATTAATCATCTTGTTTATCGAAAGCTATATCCGGATTACGTTGACGAGAGAATATCCTTTTCCTAAAGGATTTCGAACGCTTGAATTCACTTTTTTCCGGCAAAGACAATGTTTCTACTCCGAAACATGTTGTCGATTTACTTTTCAATGCGAGAGGGTTATTAGGAGATGATCTTCCGAAACTTTGACTCTTCCCTAGTTCTTTAACTACTGCAGCATTCACTTGGTATATTATTTCGTTATCAAATTCTATCTTCATCTAGTGGGATATGTAGCATGCATTTTAGGCATAGTTTTCGAGAACGGACCTTGGAATTTCGGTGTAGATTTAGTAAGATTAAGGCAGCTTTATGGTGAATCCGTAAAAAGTTTCCTTTAAGATTCAAAAAAGCCAAAGTTCGATGCCGAGTCACCGTACTCAAAAGATAATGTTTTTATGTTTTGCACAAGATGGATGGATTCCGAGCTCAAAAAGAAATTTGAGGGTATGGTGTTTCGGGATCTTTACAAACCGATCGAAAGGACGTTAAAGTTTGAGGCAATTCTGCAAGAAGAGTCATTTCAAAAAAGTACCATAGTTGGAACATATTACCAAGATTCTATGATGGTTGATGTCGATTTTATAGAATATGTTAATGAAAAGTCAATATACTATAAATAGTTGGTTTGAAAGAATGTACATGTTCCTAAAAGTTTTAAGTCAAAAGAAGATCATAAATATTCTTTCAATCTTGATAAAGCGAGACTTAATCTTTGATTGGCTTTTAGCCAACAATAAGATCGGACTTAAAAGAAAACACAAATTACCAATTTTAAAAGAGTTGAAAAAAGAAAAATTCGTACATGGCACGAGTGCTTCATCCCATTCGACTAATAACCGTGTTGTGTTTAGGAATTTAATTCAAGACTTCATAGAGTCAAAATAATTAACTTTTCTTGATAAAGAAGAAATTATGAAAGTTGATAGCAATCTTTTTTCCCGAAGTTGTCGAGGTTCAAACCTTTGATGTTTTTGACTTATCCGATTTGCAAAAACAACTTGCTATATCGAAGGCCACTAAAGTGGCTAGTCGGGTTTTCAATCGTATAGTTGATAAAGGAGTTTTTTTATTCTCTTGTTTTGAAGACTCGAAGCTCTACCATTACTACAAGTGGCATGTCACTACCTTACACAACATATAAGTGCTACCACTTTATAGATTTTCTAAATGATCATAGAGATTATAACTGGTATGATCTAACCCATAAAAAGGAAGTAGCTTTGATTTTGGCTTTACCTAGGTCGGAGACATATGTTGATGAGGTCGAGAAACAATAAAAAAACCATATATTCTACAACAAACTATTGATTGTTGGGTAATCGAGGTATGAAAGTGATTGCGGATAGCCGCTTAAGAAATAGAATGATGCGTGATTTCATCACGTCTATCGACATTTAATGTTAAGCCCATTAGAGAAAGAAATTTTCATTATTTCATCTCTAAAAGGTTAAAAGAGGAGCATGTGTTAGCACTTCAAAATTTAAAAAGTCACACATCGACCAAGTATGGTATCTTTTTAAAACGAAATAGTAAGAAATAAATGAAACAAGACGTTTAGTCTCATATCAACCAAGTTTTGATAAAGCATTGAGATTTAAATAAAATGGTGTGTTTGGTCTTATAACCAATAAAGTTTTGACAAAGCATTTAGATTTAAATGAAATGATACGTTTGATTTTATAACCAACCAATCTCAACAAAACAACGAAGACTTAAACAAAACAATGTGTTTTGGTCTTTCAATCAACCAGATTCGACGAGACAATATGTCTAAAGAAAATAAAATGCCAATTACTAGTAATTGTTCACGCCTAACTTCAAATCTAAGACGGTTATCGATCGAAAACTATTTAATGAGGGGATATTAATAGAGTCGGGAGAGAATCAACATACAAAACTTTTTTAACACAAATTTATTCTCAAGTTTTCTAGTTTACCTTATAATAATTAGTTTTTACATTTCTACAAATAGTTTGATAGTTTTTACCGCTTTCGGTGGTTTTATTATTGTAACTTAGAAAGTGTTGATCGGTCATTGATTGTGGATAAATGGTGTCGAGTGTTTCGATAGCTAATGATATAAGTGTCATATTTTTTTATTTATGTTATTACATTCTTTTCAATAAGTTTTGCCTCTCTCGATTGATTGACGAATACTTTCTATCTTTTGAATGTTATTTCTTTCGATTAGTATCATTCCTTTTTATTTTATCTTTTTTCTTTAAATTGAGTATTTACGGAAAATCCTAGTGGCTTGCTAAACAAAACCGAACCCTATATTACTTCATCGCGAAGTTTTTTATCATAAATTGAAGTGTCGATATATTTTACTTTGGGGCCAAATTTGATGAGAAGCAACACTAATCAATCCTAATTGCATCTTCCATATGATATTCTTTGATTGATTATGTGTAAACGGATGTTTGCATTCGGGAACGATGTTGAGTATGATTTACAGTGTAAGATGGAAGGAAATTTATTGAGACTATAAAACGATACTCCCCCTAATAAGATGAAAATATATATAGATTTGAGGAAAAATTCAATTTTCCAAACAACTTTGCTTGTGGTGATGGTGACATGATTTTTTTGTATAATATTTTTTATTTATTTAAACGGGCTAGTTAGAATTTTTGAAAAATCTTAATTAATCTGCACAGCCAGATTATAGGCGATTTTACCGATTGGGGTACTTAGCTGTTTGATGCAGCCAGCTTCGTTGATGTTACCTATTTCGTCGATTGTTACTTGGTTGGCGTGATTGTTGGGATAATTTGTTGAGCAGTTAATGACAGAATTGATT